ATGGGGTTTGGGGTGGGTTTTGGGGAGGAGGGGGGGTGTGTGTGTGGGGTGGGGATCCCCTTTGCCTCCCCCGTGTCCCCCCCTCATCGCTTCCCGGGAGCTCCTCCGCCACGGTTCTATCTGAGCCCGGGTGGGGACACCCCCACCAGACCCGGAGGAGGGTGAGGGGGGGGATAAAGTGAGGGGTAGGGGGCCCCGGGACGGCCCCACCGCCCTCCCCACGGCACCCACCCACCGCAGCCCTCACCTCGTCCCCGTCCTCGCTCTCCTCCTCGCTGCTGGACTCCGAGGAGTCGCCCCCTTCCTCCGACGAGTCGCCGTTGTCGTCGTCGTCATCCTCATCGTCGTCCTCATCTTCCTCCTCGTCCTCCTCTTCATCCTCGTCCTCTGACTCCTGCAGGGAGGGAGGGGGTTGGTTGCGGGCAGGTGCCCCGGGACACCAGCACCCATGGGTGCATCTCCCCATCCTCGGCCACCAGCCTTTGGCTTCCTCCAGCCACCCAGCAGGACCAGGTGGCTCCTTCCCCACCCTTTCCCCAGGAGCTTTTCCCCATTTATGCTGCAAACGGCCCCAAAAAGGCTCCTGGAGGGGGTGCAAGGGAATGTTGTAGACTTCAGGGGGGGCAAAAATCAGACCAGGGTGGGTTTGAGAACCGATTTGGAGAGGGCTTATTGTCTCAAGGATCATGCAGGTGGCAGAGAGCACCAGGGACACCTCGAGGTCTGGGTCCCCCCCTTGGGATGCCCTCCCCCCCACACACACCAAGGGAGGAGGGTGCTGGGGGGGTCCCCAATACGCTTGGACTCCACTCACCGACTTGGACTGCATCGTCGGCTTCATCTTGGGGTTGGGGCCCCGGATCTTCCCTATGCTCTTGCGTTTCTGCACGAGAGGAAGGGGAGAACACACACAAATCAAAACCATTCAGAGCTGGAGGGTTCCAGTTTGGCTCCTTCCCAGCACCCAGCACAGAGAAAACCCCACCACCGAGCTCCTACGGGGGTGAACCCCTTTGTGGGGGCTCTCCTGAGCTGGGCTCGTCCACCCCACACAACCCCAACCTCACCCAGAGCTCCCCCCAGGACCCTCCCCCAGGTGGATACTCACGTTGGAAGTGTGTTCCTTGTAGGCAGCCCGCTCCTGGGGCGAGAGGCTCTGCGGAGACAGGGGAGAGGGGGTCAGGGCACAGGGAGGAATGGGGAAGGTCTAGCCCCCTCCTCACCTATAATTTTTAAAGACTTTATAAGTTACAAAATGACAAAAAAGGGTCTGGAGATGGTGGTGGCCCGGAAGGAGGGTGTGAGCAGAGATCACACCAAGCATCCCCAAGGACATCCAACCCCCACGTCCCCCCCCGCTGGGTTTCAGGGTCCAATTCTCACCTTGAGCCAGATTTCGAGGTGCACCTTGTACTGTTTCTGCTGCTCTTCTGCCAGTTTTTTGTAGTGGTCCTTCTGGCCCTGGGAGATGCGCTGCCAGCGGCTGCCGATCTCCACCATCCGCTCCTTCAGCGGGAGGTGGTTCAGCTCCCCGTTGGACAGCAGCTCCTGGGAGAACTTCTGGTAACCGTTCCTGCAAGGAGGGGGGGAGAGTGCAAAGACAGGATCAGACGATGCCCATAGAGAACCGGGGTGTCCACCAATCATCCCACCGTGGTCCAGCCCCGGTTCCTTCCACCCCAAGGGCTGCTCCAGGCTTTTTTGTCTCATCCCAATCCAACTTTTCAGGCTCCAGACCCCAGGTACTCACATAGGAGGTTTCTTTGGCTCTCCCTGGAACTTCATTTTCTTGGCGGAGTTGGTAGAGCACGGAGGGGCCCGCATCTCGCTCAGCTCCCTCTGAGCCGGAGGAGAGAGAGGAGTCAGGGAGACAGGGGCAGTGACGGGGGCACGATGAGGGGTGGGGAGGAGCAGGGACCCACCTCGTATCGCTTCTGATCCTCCGCCGCTTTTTTGATCCACATCAGCTTCTCCTTCTTCTCCATGTTGTTCCAAGTGGCCTCCATGGCCTTCAACGCCTTCCCCCGGTCGTTCTGCAAGACAGACACCCCCCCTCTCGCCATGTTATAGATGAACCCAAGATGCCAGAGGGCTACCATTGGCTCCACCATGGACCACGGGACACCCACTCCCTTGCTGTGACCCCTGTCCTCCCCGTGGCTCCCAGCCCCAACCTGTCGCCTCGGGTGTGAAAGCCAGGGAGAAGGTCCCAGGCAATTCCTGCTGGTGGGGAGGGATGATCCCAGTTCCAGCTCCTTTCCTGGCCCACTCCTCACCTTGAAACGAGCCAGGTAGTCTCCGATGACGCTCTGTTGCCAGATCTCCTCGGCCGTTTTGGGCGATTCGGGCAGCTTTCCACGCTCCTCTTTATCTGAGCCGTGTTTTTTCTCTGACTGTGCCTTCATCGCCGCCTCCCGCGCTTTGTACTTGGCCTGTGGAAGGTTCACAGAGGGGGTGAAGGGACAGTTATGGACCCCCTCCCAGGAACAAGCCCCCGGCCACCAAGCAGCAGGACGCTGCAGCTTCCCTCCGGTGCCCCCACCACGCACACCCACATCTCAGGGCTTTCCCCTCACCAGAAAAAAAACATCAAAACAATCAAAAAACATTCTTAAACTGCCGAGTTTTGACCCACCAGGTCACAAAAGGGAGATGGCACAGCTGGTGGCACCCATCAGTGCCAAAAGCCATGCCTGGGTGATGGCTCGCCAGAGCTGTGATGCTCCTGGGGACAAGTGTCCCCCAAACTGCAGTGCCTGGGGGTGAGCAAATCCCCCTGAAGCAGGACAAGGACAGGGAGCGTCCCCCTGGACTCCCGGTGATGGCCAACGGAGACAGGGATGGAGGCAAAGGGTTGGAGATGGTACCAACCTTCTTCTTCTCGGAGAGGTCATTCCACATGCGGGCCAGGAGCCGGGTGAGCTCGCTCTCTGACAGCTCCGGCCTCTCCTCCTGTAGCTGCTTCCGCTTCTCCTCCGAGAAGATGAACATGGCGGAGATGGGCCGTTTGGGCTTCTCTGAGCTGGCCTGCAGGAGGGACATGGGGCCGTGGGTGGGGGCGAGCCCACAGAGGGACCTGCCTCACACCGGTGGCCTTCAACCCCAGGAAAAACATGGTGAAAGAACGAAGGAATGAAGCCCTGGAAGCACCCTGAGATGCCAGCAACCCCATCCCATATCTCTGCCATGTGCTGCCCCATCTCCCCACTTGCCGCTCTCACCTTGCCCGTCTCTGGTGAGGACTTTTTGGATGCTGGACTCGTTGCCCCTTTCCGGTTGCTGCCCAGCATCTTCTCCTCGCCTAACACCCGCTGCTGCTCCTCCTCGGGCAGGCTCTGGGTGGCACAGAAGGAGAGACACCATTAGATGGCCCAACGCTAACGAGGCTTTGATGCAATCAGGGGGTAAGGATGCTGGGGAGGTGGGGAAATTAATACTCTCAGTTGTCCTGATCCCAAAGCCACCCCAGTCAGGGCCACCATCAGACCCTGGGCAAGCCTGGGGGTCCCCACGCCTGTGTCACCCCTCCTCACCAGGCAATGTCACTCCTCCCCAACCCCATCCCCTCCCTGGCTCAGTCTCATCTGCTTCCTCTCTGCAACGGCAGGG